TATGAAGAACATTACAATTTACAGGTTCTGACAAGGGAAAACTTTACAGGTTCTGACATGTGAAAAACAGAACAGGAAACCTATTCTGACTGAATAGTTCACTCTGTAAATTATTTGTTTAAAAGTTTTTGTTACATTTTAAATGTAATTTAAAATACTAAGTCTAGCTCTTTAATAGTTATGTGTTAATCACTAAATCAGACATTCTTAAGGCTGTAGTTAATGCTACGACACTATTATTCTACTTTTAAATTAGAAAGAAATCTTCATAAAAGAATAATTTTTAAATTAATTCTATAACGTGATGCATTCAACTAAAATTAGTTTTATGATATGACAGACCTACAAAAAATGAATGGAAGAAAAATAAATGTTTCTTCCAAAACACAGCTGATGAACGCTCATTTGAAACTTCGTTTCTGTGCTTCGGCCATCACGCCTGGTATTAAATTGAATCTGAGTCGTGCGAGTTATAAAAATACAAGGTACGATATATTTATCTTTCTCCTACTTCATATCCAGACACTTTAATTCTACATGTAACAAATGCAGTAATACTAGTACTAGTATTACAACAAAACTAAATTCCTCAATCTCACTGTGTAAGAAATATCTACCCAAGTCAATTATAAAATATAAATTTACCTTTAATAAGCTTTATACTTTATATTTATTTATAACTGCAGCCACGTCAACAGGATAAGTCTTTGTAAATTGTATATACTAATAATAATATAGACTAATACCAATAATGGTAATATGCAAACCAAATATATATTCGCCTGTAAAAGTAAAGTCATAAGAAAAGACACTAACGTCTCAGAACTTATATAAACCCGCTCTTCTAAATCACTTTGAAGGCGTGGACTAAAATTATATTTAATGCACGTCCTAACTACAGAATATATTACTAATATGCATTCCGAACTGCTTCATCCTTCTGGAGCTTTTACTGCTGCCTGGTAGTATTATTGAAATTTATAAATTATTATTTTATTTAATACATTTATTTCTCCGTTCAATGGAAGCAGTGTACTGAAAAATATAGAGCTAAAAGCCATTAAACTACACAAAGGAAACAAACAAAGAACATTTCATAAGAATAATTATGTAATTGAACGAGTTAAAAAAGAAATGTAATACAACCAACATTTGGGAAGAATATTTTGTAACATAAAGAAGTTAGCGTAACTATTATAAAAATTGGGAAAATGACTGGCTTTTTTTTTCAATGTAAATTATGAATAGGTGTAATACAGGTGGTGCTAAGACTGCCTTGTAAACAAGATTTGTTGTATTCTCAAATTCACTGGTTTACTTTTGAGAAATCAGATAGGAGCAGTAGAATAATTGGAGATTCGCCAGAAAAATTTTACAGAGCAAAACCTGATTTCTCTTAACCTCGACTGAGTCCAAACCATAGAGAGAGAGAGACTGGATACAATACGTCAAAATCATGGTAAAGGCAAGTATGTTGTGACATTTTCACTGGAGTGTGTCATATTTCAAAGTAGTTTTCTGTGAATTGTTTTATTTTCAATTCCAATGTTCCAGACTGAAAACATATGGCATAATTTTCAAAGAACAACGAAGGTCTTTTTTTTTTTTTGGTTGCAGGCGTATTACAAAACAAGGGCTGTTATATCCTTGGTGCATATCAGACTTGCCTGTAGAAAATATAACTATTACTTTCTACAGTAGGCACTATTTTACAGCAATCTTTCACAATAGAAAGCATGTGTGATACCCTACTGACCAAGTCCCTCGGGTAAGTAAGGCGAAATGAAGTTATTGACTCCCTTGCTCAATTTGTACAGAAATTTGGATTTTTTTTTTGTATCAGAGTAAGAGAGTAGGAAACATATGGTAAGTTTGCATGTGCAAAGTAAACAATATAACAACATGTGGACAATGGATCATTTTGTCTTTCAAAGATTCTCTGCACAATCATCTTTGAGTAAGATTTAAAAACTTAAATCCATCCATTGGACGGGTGAAATAAAAACTTGTTTGTAACAAAGGATAGGAAATTGTGCTCATATTTTTTTAACACAGTAAACATTAAAAGCGCAATGAAAATACATAAAGGTACCAATACTGAAATGAAAGACATATACTGTTTTCGATAATTCTCTCAATATGAAATTAGATGGGGAGGTCCAACCCCTCTCATGACCTTCCTCGTGTTATTCTATATCACTGTGTCAAGTTTGGTGCTGATTGGTCAAGAAATATGGAAACATATAAGAAACAGACGGCTGAACGGTGTATGTGACTTGTTGATGATAAATCTCAACAATAAATGGACAGCACACAATCCACTTGTTTTAAAATAATATATATTCAAACAAGTCAAATGTATGTACAAAAATTCGTTACAATATTGTTTATCACAGTTGTATCCAAGCTTTAAACAATTGTCTCTTTCTCGTCAAAGTCCACACAGACAGGTTCAATTACTTTAGAACACTCTTTGACAAGATATATCATTCTCCTCTCACTCTGTTATTGCAGTTGTGAAACTCACTTTAGAAATTGCCGCATGGCTAAACTCACACACACAGTCTAACTTCACTTTCACTAACTTACTTACTTTATCTAACCTGGTTGTCTATATGTGTTTCTTGTTACGTCTTTGGTCGTTTGTTAATTTCACGTAAAAATTATTTCCGAGAAACTTCAGTGATACAAGTCCTTTCTTAATTAAAACTAGTTTATTCTTTCTCGATACAACTTTCCAATACACTTAATTTCCACAGTCACTTTAATTTGAATACACGCTATAATTCACAACGATTCACGCACTTTACTTACGACTTGACTCGAGTATCTGTCGCTATATCTCCCTATCTGCAATTTTTATCTCGCTTTATTTGCCGGGTTTATATACTAAAAAAGAGGGCGTATAGAATGCACTAGGGCCTTCATGATCTTTCTAGAAACTCATCACGTGTTACCAGAGTTATGTGATTTCTACTGTCGTAACACTGCCCCTTCCTAAGTATTGTTCGTCCCGAACACTAGCCACTTACATTAAACCAATAGATAATTAACAATAACTTGATTAAATGTATAGAATTTACAAACAAAAATTAAAATTCAACAAAGTCTCTTAATTTTACGGGACATATCTTCTTCCACACTGGTCTCCGTCTCGTTGGCTTCTGCTTCACGTGGGGTTCATCTGCTCCATCAGGAAATGTCCTATTATCG